ACTTCACAAGGAAGGTAGAAAAATATAAAGAAAAAGCATGAGTAAAAAAGGCAAAAGGAAAGAGAGAAAGACAAGAGTCGTTCGATGTTCATGTTTTAAACCCCTCAATGAGTTGCACTTCGGGGGGAGAAAAGGCTTCTGAACGCATGGTTCACTCATGCTACGGTCTAATTTCGTTGTGCGCTGGCGTAAATATATACGACTGCCCATCGAATTAGTGTTAGAGTACCCCATCACGAATTTTTGCCCATCGTTGTACAGTGCTTCACCGGGGCGTCATTGTTTAATAGCCGATGACAACTCAATTAGGTTAACCAGATTCTCTAGTACCTGAGACAAAACGTGAGAGGCGTCCGTTAAATGAGGAAAAAGGTATGCCTACCATATACAGGGATCAAAAGTGAACTTAAGCAGTTGCTGTTCTTTTATGGAGGAAATTCTACCATCAATTGTCAAAGATGAATTTAAATGTCGTTGAATATTTTGACCTTGTAAGCTGCAATGTACATCGCGCAGCCATGGAGTGGTCGCAATACTAGTGAGGGGTGCTAGAAGAACAGTTCGCGCGCAACCTCATGCAAAGCATCGAAATTTGCGAAAGATTGATAATCACTCGCAATCCGGCGTTAAGTAGGATTGTAATTCTGATTACTGTACAGCCTTGTCTCCAGGCATTTCAGTCACATCAGGATGCCGGCTTTTGAATGGACTATTTTCTGACCGCCCGTCAAAAGTATATTTTGGTTTCACTGCCCTAATAAATTCAAATATATTAAATAGCTAATGCACACACCTATTCTTTCTTTGGTAGAAAATTGCGCCTTCTTCAAATTTTATACTTAAAGAAAGGATAGCTTTCGGTTTTGAAAAGCTGTCTAAATTGCCGAATAATGTTCAAACCTACCAGATATAAAACCCGAATTCAGGATTTCCAATCTGCATGCTGTATACATTCTGCCTTTAAAAGTAAATTTTTCCCTAAAACTTTCGCAATAGCTGGGGATCGGGACGTATACTGTATAAGCAAAATTAATAAATTACGGATACGATGGAGACTAAATGAAAATCTCATAATAATAAAGTTTTTGAAAATCGAAAAATAGCCTTTCCTCAAGCATAAATTTTAGTAATCTTTATAGTGACTGTTAGCATTCATTTATATCGTTTAATCTATGCATAGCTAGCTTGTGCAAAATATTCCATTGATATTCTCACCAAGCGAGAAAATCTTATTTGTCCAATTCAGACCTTCAGTATATCCTTTTGCGACTAACTTTGACTGGACCGTCATATAATACAAGCCCTCTTCAAATAAAGCGGTACAAAAGGTGCCGCCAATATATCTGTCAATCAGCTAATATATAGCAAAGAAAAGGCTAAAATCATTGAAAAAAATAAATTTGGTTCATTAATAAAAGAATAAATTAAAAAGTTAACAAACTAATATTAACACCGATTTCGTATTACTCGATCCTGGAATTTTTTGTTTCCGTGGTGATGCCTATAGTAGACCGCTACCGGAAGTATGATTTCGCCGTTGACATATTATTCTGGTATTCCTGTACAGGTACTTGAAATGCGGCCGCACCAATCCAACTATGAGGCGGCTGAGAAAAACCTCCGTAATGCCGGTTTTTGTGCCGTCGACCCAGCAGGGCCTCAGTGTCCCCCGCAGGGTCTCTTCTCCATCGCCTCCTGCAAGGCTCCCGGCGCAGTCAAGCCCCCGCTCTTTGCTTCCCTGCCCCATTTTTTGTATGCCGATCGGAGCCTACGATTGGCGCTTGATGGTCTTCGACCCGACAATCCGCACCGCGATGGAATTCGTCTTCTGGTCGAACCAGTACGTCCTATATGCTAATTCAAATTTTTGAATTGTCAATTCGGCAAACATGTTTTTTTTCAGTAAGTTAGGCCTATACAATTACATAAATAAATAAGGTATGGGAGTCTTACAGGTTTTATTAATATTTTATGGTAAATACTCGTTGTCTTGACGCCAATCGCATGGAGAGATCGGCAGTTTGAGGTCGTTAGGACTGGGGGAGGTGGGAATTAATGTAGGCTGTGTGTGCATCGAGTACGGGGAGTGAACATCACTGTCAGCACTGGATTCGGTAACCGTATAGCCACTTCTGTGTTAGTGGTGTAATGGCCAAAAGTAGATCTTCCCCTGTAAGAGTGTACTTGAATCTAACGTGTGACCTACGTTCAGGAAGGCAGGTATATCGAGGGGAAGAGGAAGGCCTGCTCGATTCAGATCGAAAAATGCCAAATGCTTCTACCGATCACTACCGATGCTATGCCGGTTCTGGTATCAAACGCTAACTCACAGGGTTTCACGTTTTCGTTGGTCCAAAATATGAGAAACTGGGAAGCCCAGAAGGGTGGAAGGTGTCACACCTTTATCAATATCACCTTATTACCTTAGTGAAATCAATATAAATGAGCCATTTCAGGAAAGGGCCTCTCGAGATGCACAGCCTATATGTCTCGAAAGGGCAATTTTAATATCAGTGCTAACGGTCTCTGCTACGCACAGCTCCCAATAGCAATTTTAATAATTATTCTCCGCCTGGCATTGCAATCCTTCGGGATGGAAAGCTCCGCGAAGTCTCTCCGATTATAGCTGCCTTAGGTTAAGAGTAAAATGTAGTTTCTAATATTGATCTGCGTTCTTTACAGCTGAATTCGATTGACATATTAATCAGGAAAAAGTGTGCACAACTGAACGCGCAATCCTATAACTTGTAGTTATACTACTCCTAATAAGTGAGTAGTCGTTTATATTTCCTCTTTTGTACTAGACAATGGCTGCTTGCTTTTAGCCTGCAATTATGTAAACAACCTGTATCTTTACCATATTGTAGCCAATAGGGGGTCCAAAGGTACTCGCCTATCTTCCTCTTACAAAACTGAACTTACAATGATCGGGTTATGGGGTCTGCTCGCCTAGCTTCAACTGATCCCTGAT